AAAGAAAAAAATTGGGAATCACTGCTCTAAATGGAGTACTGAAAAATGTGAAGAGTTTTATAATGAAATGAAAGAGTGAAAATAGGATTAGGTTCTGCAGAATGCAATCTTCGAGTGAAGATTCAAATTGGATTTCTTGGAATGATAAACATTATCAAGAGCAATAAACCTTGCAGAATTCGATAGCACCCAATAATTAGCATTCGGATCTGATAATATAAAGTCTTCGACATACAAAGCCTCTAATCCATGATTCAATTATAAAACGAAAAAATGCTGCACTATGCTATCGCGTGCTAAAATATTAAAGATAATAGATGAAGAAACTTGAGCTAACAATTTCTCTAGAAACATAACGTGAATCAATAAACAAATGGCATAGCTCTGCAAATGAACATTTTACAGTAATATGAATGTAGCGAAAACTGCACGAGATTCGATTACTAATCAGACAGCACCATTAAGATTTGCATATTGTTACAGACTTATTAAAATAACGCTCACTCATAGAAGTAATCCTTTTTTACGCAGTTATTCATTCGAAGGTAGCTGTTTGCATGAAATCCATTTGTCGTTACATCGAGGATGATAGATTCTTTCCAGAACGATAACCATCAATCAACACAACCATCCAGGATGATATTTATGCACTATCTGACGTTTCAATTTTTTTCCATCTGAACCTTAAATAAAAAGAAAATTTCAGGGTTTAAAAATTAATAGGAAAAGAATGACTTTAACGACTATTACATCATTCATATGTGCTTTGCTCAACATTTCCTACACAATTGCTGTATTGATTCTATGCGTAAAAAAACGAGAGGTTAACAAAATAATTTTTCTGATATTATACTGAAACAAATTTCTTCACTTGCATCCATCGTAAGTAATTGCACGGCGGAATAAAATAAAGATCTACAGCCTAATAATTACAACTGCTTCAATACCTCATTTTATCATTCGATTTCATCTTTGTCGGAAGTAGAGGGAAGCTAGATATAAGTATAAAACTTGCATCTGGTATCGGTCGAGGTGATCGAGAGCGAATGAAATTATAGATTTTGTCACTTTTTCAAAAATTGAAAAAAGTTTTTGGATTCAGGAATCAAGCTAAATATTGGAATAGTCTGCAGATTATTATTCCTTCATAAAAGAATAATTATTTCTTTTTTTAGAGAAATGAGAAAAAGGAGCAAGAAAAAGGAGCATCACTACAACAGCTAAAAACTCCAGAAGCAAAAACTCCAGAACGAAAACAACCCTTCGGTCCTGCACCCTTACCAAAAGCTGCAGTCACTAAAGGATCCGTTGTCAAAGCTAACGTACCTAAACAAGTGCTGCAACAGAGTCCAACTTCAGTTAATCAAATGCAGCAAACAATCAAAGATGTTAGTTTTAAAAAAGAAAGAAAAAGTGTTAGAATGAGCGGAGTCGCAATCTGGGAATATGAGAAAAAAGATCCGGTAGGTACTGCAATCTGAGAATTTGTAAGTCCTGAAGACGGCTCAAGAGATCAGAGAATCCTAAAATACCTTTTGTGGTAATTTTCGGAGTAACAGAGTTTCTTACTTTTTTAAATTCTTAAATGAAATTTGATTGGATTTCGATGGGAACAAGGAAGTCACTTTAAGAAGCGTTACATTTGCATATGAAGCCATTCACCGTTTTTACGGCTAAAAAATATTTCTCTTTTTCTTTTGTTTTCCCGATGTCTTTCTGGTTTCTCAGTTCCTCAGATAGGCGCTTCAAAACAATACGAATACAGAAATTGTTTAGAAATTTGAGAATAAAATTCTTGATAAATGTGAGTGGCGTGAAATGTCATGTCATCTAGGTGGTTACGGTACATAGAATGAATGGTACTAGAAATGGAAAAATGAAGAATTGAATCCCGAAGTGTTGCTTACATATCTTTTACTTCACGTCGCCTAATTTCATGATTTTAGTTCGTCGTCTAATTTCCACTTTAATATCATTAGTTCATCGAAATTGAGAACTGTAAGGTTGAACGATTAAGCATATCTTTTATATATATTTAAAGTAGATTTTATATATATATTTTCTTGGGGTTGGCAGCTATTGAAATACAATAAAAATAAGATAGAAATGCATCAAAGTTCTTTTGAAGCCTTGACAGAAACAAATTTCTGACATCACGTTTTCGATCATGCCAACGTACTTATCCACAATATATTTAGACGGATATACAACCGACACAGTTAAGTAAAGAACGAATAGAAAGCGCAAAAGATGAGCAGAAAAATCTGTTACAGGTTCATTGACTTTTTTCCTTATTTCAAAATTCCAGTAATTCATTGCAAATTTAACAAAACGTTAAATGAGGAAAGAAATTGATTTAAGAAAGTATGAAAGATTTTCAAATTTTTAGAGGATAAAAGATATGAAGGATAAGAAGGATGGACAAATTCAATACGAACAGTATGTAAGCTTGTTACTTTTTTTTTTCTCTTCTATTCAAATATTTTGTACTGATATCTGCAAGGATGATTTTAGACTGTGCATTCTTTGTGGTCATAAAATGAAGAATGTAGGACGAATTCTCTAAGCAAATTTTCAGACATCTCGTCGATTATCTTCTAATATTGAACTTATAAAAAATCAATTCCCGAGTACTTTTCACTTTTCGGTTATGATTTAAGAATACTTTTTCGGCACTGATGCCTTAAGCAGTAACTGCTTCAGCTAAATTTCTTTGTTACAACTGTAATGAATGGAAAGGATACACACGAGACTTTTCCTATAGCCAATAACTTAACAAGTAAATAAATCAGTTCTTCCCAATCTATGATTGCACCATAGAAATGACCCAAAAGAAGGAATATTTTAATACTTCATTCCATCTCAAACAAATTTACTCCAGTGAGAATTGAAGAAAGTCGAGAAATAAATGTAACGCTATTAAATGAAAAAATTCTTAGAAATCAATAAAACGGCGAAAAAAAGTAACGAAAAAAGGAACAAAATTGGAAGTAGCGCGAACGCAAACCCAAACAGAAGAGCAATTAAAAGAAGATCAGGTTGTTCCGCTCGAAATTTCTAAATGATGATTTGAACTAATACAGGTTCCAATAGATGATTCCAAATGCTGAAAATAGTTCACATAATGTTATCAAAATATTACTCTCATTGTCATCCATCACAAATTCCACTATAACTATCTTAATCATACTTATTATCACAATCATCATAATTAACATTACTATTTTTTGTTACAGCTCATTATCACTAATACCGCTAAAGATTTCTGCCCATGATCCATGAGATATTTTTGGTTCAATTTTTTTTGAGAAACAATATTTTGATAGTCCTCTACAATCGCCCCGTTATTATTACCTATATCCGAGGTGACCCCCAGACATTTTCCCAAATTCTTCGATATCAGTCCTTTTTATCAGTTACAAAAGATGTCATGTCATTTTTCTGCCAGCTTCTCTTACTTGCATTCTTTCCTGTCATTGACTGCAATGTACCATTGTTGTAATCTGATTGCATTCATATTAGTTTTTTCTCTAATCATCGGTTAGACAAATAGTCGATGGTTTTTTTTCACATTCCTTTACAAAAGCGCCAATTGTTCTTTCTCTAAATGAATTTTCAATGAACTTTGCAGTGATATAATGTAAGCCTTTCGGTTTCCATTTTTACAATTCATTATTGTGACTATAATCACTTCTCAGGCAATTCCATATCAGTAGTAGTTCCCATTGAGTAGCTATTCTTGAAATCATTTCAACTATCATCATCACATTGCACCAATAAGATAGTTTAGTTCATCATTTACAGATAGCAAAAGATGAGCAAGAAGAGGAAGAGGAGGACGATACGATGAAAGGAATCGCTTCCCTACAACAAGATCTCAATATTGTCTCTACCGAAGAAAAATAACCTTCCATTCGTGATCATTCACTTCATATCACCCTAGATCAGTTACCAATAATAAATAACGTTGACCTTCTTGACCTGCTACTGATCACTTCCTGACACAACGATGAAAAATTACACCAACATAGCCTGCGGCTCGAATTACTACGAGAGATGGCTCGGCCTCGTTCAGTTCTTAAATTTTACACCTTTTGTTTTTCAAACTTCTTGGAACAAGTGTGTTTATGAGTTATTTTTGGTGTGGGCATAAAATTCGTAAATTGTACGAGATTTAGGACTGTTTTAGCCAATGTTTAAAATTCGCCAACTCATCATATTTCTCGTACAAATTTATGTTTTGGCTTGTAATTTATTTATTTACAGTAATAAAAATGGACTCAGTAGAAAGATGGCCAGTGGAAAGTCTAGTCGATGGAGCTAAGCTCGGTGTTCGCATGACCGGAGATTCGGAATTCCGTATGTTTTGCTTCTATCCATTTCGTTTGTTTGTCTTATAAATGGAAACGTAAGCATAAACGCTAAATTTATTAATGTGAGTATTCCATTTTACTGTAATGGACGAGGATTTTATAGGTGAAGCAGAAATTTTATCGATACGTATCATGCCGGAACGAAAATATAAATTTTATGTTCATTACATTGACTGTAATCGACGACTGGATGAATGGGTCGATGACTCAGCATTGGATTTAACCAACGTTCGATTTCCACAAAAAGGTGGTAAAGCTCCAAAAATACAAGTTGATACGGCTACCAGGTAGGTATTTGATTTAGATTAATACTTCCCATTAGATCCCCAGTATTAGTCCGTCCTATCTCATCCGAAATATATTAGAATGCTATTTAAATTAATTTTTTCGTCATTCTGATACTTCAGTAGAATATTTGATTTTATATTAACCAAATTTTCTTTGGAGCGGAAAAATTTCGGTGTTTGATATCAGCTACAATCTAATCTAAACTTGAGTAAAGAAAGCACTTTAATAAATAAATGATTGATATGCAAAGTAATTTCTGCTGTCTAAAAGAAGTTATACAGTTCGCATACATCGTCTCCAGACCGTGAGGTGCCTAAAAAAGGGCTCAACACGAAAGAGGAAAGTGGTTGGTGATGCGTCGGAAGTTGTCAAAACAGAAGAAGCACCTGTGGTACCACGCCCATTATCACCATTTCAAGCGGATATTAAAGGTTTGTTTCCGCTTTATTGGCATTTCTTTGCATTATGCCCACTTTGTTCCATTGTTTCATGCCTTTTTTCTTTATTAGACTGGATTCAGTTCCTAGTAAAACACGAAATTTTAAAACATGGTCTCACGGCTGGTAGAAATTTTGAATAAATAGTGCTATATCTTTGCAGCACCAACACAGCGTGGGTCGATGTCAATTATTGGGCATAGTGAGGATGCGTTAACGCGGATTCGAAACATTGAAATGGTTGAATTGGGACGCTACCGTATACAGCCGTGGTACTTCTCACCCTATCCACAGGAACTTACCACACTTCCTTGCATTTATCTTTGCGAGTTTTGCTTAAAATTTGTCAAAAGTTCCACGTGTCTTAAGCGACATATGGTAATTTCATTTTCACTAAATAATAATGCATTGCTTTCACGGTAATAAAGAGAGAATATTTGAATCAGAAATGTCAATTTTCTAGGAAATTGGTGTCCTATCTCTCCTCTGAAGAACTTTCTGATTTAAAATTAAGTAGACGTCTCTATTATTGGAAGCTATTTGATTCACCATATTTTTTAGATGAAATGTCATTTAAAGCATCCACCAGGCAATGAAATATATCGGTCTGATAAATTATCTTTTTTCGAAATTGATGGAAGGAAGAATAAAGTTAGTTTTTCATTCTGTTACGTATGAATTGTACGTACTGTCTTAATTTTACGAATTTCAACAGTTCTTATTTAGACTTACGCGCAAAATCTCTGTTTATTGGCAAAGCTCTTCCTGGATCACAAGACTCTCTATTATGATACCGATCCTTTCCTCTTCTATATTTTAACTGAACAGGACGATCGTGGTTTTCATATCGTTGGATATTTCTCAAAGGTTTCGCAAATCATATCTGTTTATTTGAAATTTACTAATTTCAGAAAACTTTATCGAATAATTTTCAAAGATATTTGAGGGTCGATTTTTAAATTCAGATTTTATATAATGGTTCTTTTCAGGAAAAAGAATCAGCAGAAGAATATAATGTAGCATGTATATTAGTTTTGCCTCCTTATCAGAAAAAAGGTTATGGAAGGCTTTTAATTGAATTCAGCTATGAACTATCAAAATGTGAGGGAAAGACTGGATCACCTGAGAAACCGCTTTCGGATTTAGGATTGGTAAGGTTTGATGATTCGATTTTACTGGAAAAATTAGCATAAGCGACTGTACCATGTTTAAATTGCCGTTTCTTCGTTCCTAAATGTTTGATTTGCTCGTGTTTTTGTGTATTTTTATTTTCAAATTGCAGCGTATGAATTTATTGACTTAGTCGACTTACTCTCAATTTCACTTTATACTACCAGTGGTGGAGGGTATATACCTCAATTTTTTTTCTTGATACAAGCTTCAAGACCTTGATTTATGTTGACTTTATAAGCCGGGTGATCTGAATGATCAACTATCTAATAAGAAAGTGGATGAAACGAATGGTTCATGATCTAGCATTATAAGTTTTTAGTTGGAATATTGCTCCTCAAAAGACTTGAGAGATGATAGTGCTAGTAGTCTCACACCTTTATAAAGAAAATAGAAAAGAAAGAATTTAATTTCTGAATTTTAATATAGGTTAAAAAATTGTTCTTTCCATTTCTAAGCCTACCACGTGCTTTTTCTGAATAATTTTTGCTTAACAGACTTAATAGAATTTGTGTTCAATTCTATGAATGATTAGCAGATTTGAAAGCAATAAAAATTCTAATAACAATATTCTATAGAATAATTTCAAGAACATATCGTTCTGCACTGAATCACCGATTATGTTGTGCTGGATGTGCGCATACCGTTAAATGACCGGATCATCTTGCATAAATGTATAAACGGTTGCCATACGGTAGTTCTGGTTGTTAATTTATTCTTTTCCAGCTGTCTTATCGTAGTTTTTGGTCACAAAAAATCATTGAAAAGTTGGTGCAACATCGAGAGAGATGCGATGATGGTGATCAGCTCTACTTATCAGTTAATGATCTCAGTGAGGAAACAAGCATCCGGAAAGAAGACATCATATCAACATTACAAGTGTATTTTTTAGTTTTTTTTCATATTACACTTTTTTATTATATATTACGTTTTGCTTCCTTGTAGAATTTCAGAAAACATTTTTTTTCACTGATATGGATTTATAACTATACATATTTTGTTCAGCAGCTGAACCTGTACAAGTACTACAAAGGACAGTATGTCATCGTTTTAAGTAATGAATTGTTGGACGCATACCGGAGAAGGCAAGAAAAGCGTCAAGTTCGAATCGATCCATCGAAGCTTCATTTTCAACCCAAAGACTGGTCACGACGAAAAATTTAAATGATGCATTTTGATACATTGTACATTTTAGGCAAATTTCGTTTCTTTCCATCCCATTCGTGTATATTACATGTTTATTACATTACAGTTCCATATGCTTACTATCCAGAAGAAGCGTTAAGACTGGAAACCGTGTCAAAAAGTAATCCAATTAAGATGAGCTTATATAACTTTGTTGTTTGTTGCTTAATTGATCAATGTTTATGTTGTTGTTACTTATTGCTCATTGTGATTTTTTGTTTCATGACCGCACCAGTAAACGAGCTTTCTTCCTAATCAATAGTTCTTGCGTTCTACTTCTATCTTGGTACTGCAGGGAAATTCGAGGTTTCCTCCTTACTTGATATATTTTTATATATAATCGATTTCTAGAAATATTAAGACTTCTGATATCCACAGCCATTTATCGCAATGCATCAGGGATTTATGAGCAGATGAATGACTCCGAATTCGTTATATGGACCTGAACATATATGGCTTTGGATATAACATAATATTGCATATTCTCCATTACTGCAAATGTCTATATTCTACAAAAGTTATCGGAATCTGCAAGTGTCTATATTCTGCAAAAGTTGTCATCGAAATTTCATACTTTTAGATACTCATATGGAGCCTTTTGGGTTTACTCATTTACGAGCTGGCAAAGCGATAGATGTGGCACCTACAATATCTAATCAAAAATACAAAAAGAATTGCTTAGATGTTTTAAAGTGAGTGATTTCCAACTTCTTTCCTAACATTATTTGACAATCTTTTAACTAACAAACATTTTCTAATGTTCGTTGTTGTATATTGAGCGTATTTGTTCTTATCTTGCACATTACCAATCTGCTGTTGATAGTAATATTAGACATAAGACACGAATTTTTCGATTTTAATTTTGAAAACATAATTCTTTCCTACGTTTACATTATATATGTTCGCTGTATTATTGTGTTTTACAGGCTAACGAAATCCCAGCAATTATCAATGCGTCATCTTTATTATCCTGTGAATATGCCCGTTTGTCGTTATCAGAAGAGGCTAATTTTAGATTCGTTGTATAACAATATGCTGATAACATTGCCGAAAGAACTGGATACTTTCTTCATTGCTGCCGTTGTTATGTTCAATTTTCACAGGTTTCAGTTTGCTGCGATATAAGAAGAAATCATTGAAGCGTTATGTATGCAGTACTAACTACTTCATTTTTTATCAATAATTTTAATACGATCGTTTCGTTGTTGACTTTTCAGTATTTGAAATAAGAAATGATTCGTTGTATATTCAAAGCGATCATATGCAACGGCAGATATTCTGCAACTGCGGATTTTATGCAGTAAATTCCTGTTCTACTTCCTCTTTCCTCTAAAGAAAGCATATATTACATTACAGTATTCTTGTAAAGTTACTCAAGAATGCATCTTTTTTTCTTCCATTATAAGCAAGTTATGATTTAAATTTATGATTTTTAACTGACTTGCTTGTTCCTATCATTCATTAGTTCCTATCACTCATTAATGACTTGCTTATTCTTATCACTCTTGTTCTTATCATCCAACACACAAAAATAAAATAGCAGAAATAAGTCCATGACTAATCCATTTGAAACATAGCACCAAGTATCCCTTTCTCATAAAACGAAAAAAGGTCAGCAGTTTACGATTCCCATGTACGCTATTAAGGAATAAACTATTAGCTTCTTTATATCGTCCTGATCAAATGCAACTAGTGAAACATGTATTATATATAACTAATAAGAATGTCTAAGTGAAAGATATCTAAATTCATCCTACCTATTTACAGATGGTTTCCAATACAGAAGGTAGTGTGTATATGCAAAAATGTAGAGTCATCGTTGAATACCGCAAAACGATTCGCTGAAATTACGGGTTATTCACAAGGTATTTGTGTATATGCTAATTTAAAAAAGAGTGAACGTTGTCAGAAATGGATTCAACAGGATATTATATTTGCTACTGCAGAGGTTTTTGTTTTTTCTTTTTAGTTAATGAGAAGAGAAGATTATAGATTCATTTAAATTTCCTGAATGTAGTTTGGGTTAGCCGTCTGTAGTTGATTAGACTGATAGGAAGGACATTATCAAAGATTTTTTTTTTATATAAAGGAAGCTTTTTGTAGATAAGGAACACAACTTATAACCCTTATATTAGCTAATTAAATGGTAAGAAGCCTTTTTATTGAAAAATGCTAAAATAACTTCCGACATGTCATCCTATTTTTTTGTTTTTGTCAATCATAATTGGAATCATCTAAACTGGCAGTATACGATACCAGATATTTTCTTTCCTTTTCTTTCATCCTCAAAACATGTCTTGATGACTCCAAAATAAACATTTAAGAGAAATAAGCAGTCCATACCAGTATTAATATCTACTGAGAATGAAATGGATCGCACAATTGACATTCATGCATTATATCATTTTACGAACTCATCATTTTTTTTCTTTTTTTTTGCAACCACTGAACTTTAAAAATGAAATCTAAAAATGTACCATGTTAATATAAATAAAAAAAAAAGAAAAAAAACGTTATTTCATAAGAAGGTATTAATTGTCCAAATGCAACGAACGCATCGATTTGAATGCTGTCACCTGATCTCTTCTTGATTTATTATGTCATACCATCATCACTTTTATTGATGTCAGTGTCATGTTATCTCAAATTTGGATCCATTGAAAATGTCATGTAAGATCAGCGTGTAAGATTCTATATTGATTTTGGATCCATATCACAATTATCGATAAATTTGCTTGACAAAACTTTCTAAAAATTAAATAGAAAAATTTTAATCAAACTTCTAAATTATTGGATTGAAATATTTTGATTTCTATGTAGTTTTTCGAAATTTATAAAATAATAGCCAAAAATTTATAAATGAATGTTAAAACAATACATTAAGGTAGACATCTTTTCCTACTCTTGTTTTACATTCAAAAGAATCAAATCAGTTATTTGATATCAAACTTCAACAAAATAGTAAAGATAAAATTAGAGGAATTTTCGATTCTTTGCTTAAAAATTAATTATCAAACTTGGATTTCTGTAGTTGTTGTAAAGTAATACGAAACCTTACAATCTGTATATACCTTCTTCATGGTTTTCATAAAGCTATAGATCTTAGAATGTCATTCACTTCCAAAAGACACTTTTAATTTATTTACTGAAAACATTTCTTCAAAAAGTTAATTTTTTCGATGAATGTTTACATCTATAGATCATAAAGGAAGTTCGAAAATATTAAATATGATTATAATTAATAATAGTATATGTGGTGCTATTTTAGAATCAAATCAATATCTGATATATTTCACGAAATTATCACACTATATGACAAACATTTAGACAACTTTAAAATTTTTTTTAAACATGTCAAAGAATTGAACTATTGTATTCATCTTGAAATGTATTCTTTTGATTTGCAAAACATAAAATACCCTTATAATATAATTGACAAAAATGATTAAATTAATTAGAATGTTACCATCAATCAATACAATACATTATTTGTTGTAAGGATGATAAGCTAAGTTTGTTTATGGCAATGAAAAAGTTATATGCTGTAATAGATGAATTTAAAAATAAGATATAAAATGGTGGTGAAATTTTCCTATCATTAGCAAATATTTCAAAGAGAAAGTAAAATTCATCTTAATTTAAGTATACTCTTAAAAATATTTCTTTTTATAAAAATTGATTAACATAGCTGTTTCATTTTGGTACTAATCTATTTTGTAAAAGCTTCTACACTACTTTCTCTTCCGTCGTCATCCGTAATTCTATCACTTGTCATTGTTCAAAAGAAAAAGAAAAAGTCATATATTTTTGAAATAAAATTTGATTGGATTTTACATTGTTTATAATCAACCTATGCATTATTATCGTTTACAAGCTTTTTTTTTTGATGAAATTTAATTGAATTTTAAATAATCTTCTACTTTTCAATTGTAGGTTCTTGTTGCTGATTTTACGGGTAGAGAAGAGCTTTCAAAAATTTGCTTAATGATTGTGGAAGATGCTCATCGTGCTATTTCTGGTTCCAATCCTTTATCTGAACTAATTCGTAATTGTATCCTTCAAAAAGTAAGTTTAAATGATTGAATTTAACAGCAGAAATTTTGTATTCATGATATATCATATAATTCTGATTGAATAGAGACGAAAATGTAATGTGATGCTCTATAAATATCCTTTGTTTTTCATTGTTTACTTAATTTTT